GTGATTATGCCTTCTTAGACTATTCATTTCTATTTGTAATTCCTTCTTTTCCCTTATTAGAGTACTTTTAGAGTAGCATAAAAATATAGGAAAGTGCAAAAGTAAAAAGTCCTGGCTGCTTTCTGCTCAAAATTGAATGTAATGGTGTCCTGAAATAGAGATGATGCTGACATGTTTCCCCCCTCCCCAGAAGGAAGTTAGGATGCAGGGGAGCAAGGCAGGACAGAGCCAAGCCAGGCCCCGGGGGCGGGGGGTGCTAATGGGAATGCTTGGCTGCCTGGGGCTGGGGGCAGGGAGGGAAGTAGGTGGCGGGCTGTGGGCCAGGTGGGCTGAAATGGTGGCCCACGGCCGGTGGACAGAAATCTGGGGCACCCATGCTTCCCCTTCAGACAGCTGTTGAATGCTGGGTTGGATTCCAATCCTGGTACTCAGGGTGGGGTGCAGCTTGTGCGGGACAGGTAGAGATGGCCATGGCAAGAGGCAGAGCAGGACTGTGTCCAGGGCCGGAGCGGACACCAGCTCCGGTTACACACACATGACATTGTGTGTGTTGGGGGAGGGGGCTTCGTGGTAATCGCTTAGGCCTTCCTCCCAGAGACAAGGGAGGCCACGGGGCTTCCCCACTCACCATGCTCTCTGAAACGTTCGGGACATCAACCCTTCAATGTGGTGCTATTCATACTACGTCTAAGCCCACAGGTCAGGGGGTGAAGGCTACTGCTCTCCTGACCTCTCGCTGGCCAGGGCTGGATGCTCAGGGGACCATCTGGGACCGGAGACGCCGCCGTCTTGTACTGCACCATCTGGAATGCGTGGTCTCCTCGGACACTGTGGCAGGGAAGAGACAGCTGGAGGTTCACGTCCTGGGTTTGGATATAGCACTTCTACTCCTAGCCCTTCGACCAGAACTTCTTTTGCAGCCCCCTGACTGCAGAGGGCCGGGAAATGGCATGGGGAGGGGGACAGATGCAATATTTGCTGCGTACCGCTGGCCCTGCGACAAACCAGATATCCAGAAAGGAGCAGGGCACACATCAAGCTCCATATATCCGGAGGCAGGACCGTAACAGTGTGTCGTCTCGAACACAGTGCCCTGCTTTCACATCTTCAACATTAGAAACAAGAGAGCTTCATCCTTTCACTTCTCCTCTTTCTCCGTGTTTCTTGGGACCATATTTTTTGAACATGTGTCTGGCATTAAGAACCGACTCAGAACCAAAGACAGCATTATACATAAAATACCTTTTGTCTTAGAAACAGAGTTTCTTACTCTCTTTTGCCTCCCAAGCTGTCCATGTTACACTCTCTTCTCTCTCCTGAAGTCTCCTTCTTCCTCACTCTTAGTTGATGTTGTGGCCTCATTTCACGGAGGATTCCGAAGCAGTCACCAGAGGACTGCCCCATCGTCCCTTCCCCTCTTCTACCGGCGCCTCATCCCTCTGCCCATCGACCCTGTGAACTTCCTGTCCCAGTAAGAAGTTCTCCTCATTATCCACGGTCACACTTCCACCTGTGCATTTCAGTGCCTCTGTTCCGCTACTTTGCTCATGCAGCTGTCCCTGTCACTAGTTTTACCCTCTCTACTGGATCATTTCCATCAGCACATAAATTAAAAAAAAAAAAAAAAAAAAAAGCCTTGACCTGATTCCCCATTCTGCTCTCCAAGCAAAATTCCCTCAAAAGAGTGACTGTACTTGCTATATCCACTTCCTCTTCTCCTGTCCTTTCCTGGACTCAACGCTAGCCAGGCATTCAGTCCCCACTGTGCCATCAAAACCTCTTGTTAAGGTTGCCATTTGCACACAATCTTGCGAAAACACCAGTTTTACATTCCTGTCTTTTCAGCAGCCTTTGAGACCTTGGATTTCCATCTGGGTTTTCTTCCTTATTCTCAGTCTCCCTTGCTGGAAACTTTTTTTATTTTCTGACTGCTTTCTTTCTCTTTTTTTTTTTAAATTTTATTTTATTATGTTATATTAGTCACCATACAATACATCATTAGTTTTTGATGTAATGAGCCACTGTTCATTGTTTTTGTATAACACCCAGTGCTCCATGCAGTATGTTCTGACTGCTTTCTTGTTGGAATGTCCTAGAGCTCTTCCCTGGGCCTTTTCTCTCTCTATAGTCACACCTACGTGATAGCATCTAATCCCAGAGCTTTAAACAGTATTTACACACTGATAATTTTCAAACATATGTTTCCAGGCCAGGTTGCCCCCTTGAACTCCTTACTTTTAAGTCTAATTGCATGCTCAACACTTCCACCTACATGTAGTATAGACATCGCAGATTTAATATGTCAAAACCAGACCTCTGGATATTCCCCCCGGTCCCCCGGCCACATACCTATTGACCAATTCTGCTTCTCCCACAGTCTTATTTTCTCAGTCATTGGCAACACCATTCACCCAGCTGCTCAAGCCAAAAAGCTCATCATTAATTCTTCCCTTTCTTCTTACTTCTCATCTAATTCATTCACAAGTCTTAGGAGATCCGCCTTCAAAATATACCTACAGTCTGGCCATCTCTCACCTCCTCCCTTGCCACCACCCTGTCACACACCATCCTCATGTCTTCTTGGACTTTCCACTAAGAGCACCACAATAGATTTGCTTTCCCCTGATGGGGATGACTGTATACCTTCTTCATTTTGCATCAGGATTATGTTGGTTCTCTAGCTGTGGGTCATATATCACAGATCTATTGATCCTGTCACCTTCCTATGTGCTGCTCAGTGTTGATGACATCATGCTGATGAGCAGGAGGTAGCAGATACCTTGGATGCTCGGGCAAGATATGTGTATGCCAAGGAGGTGGAGACGAACTGCACAAAAATTGAGAGGCCTGCCATCTCAATAAATTACCTAAGATCCCACGCCTTAGATTTACTTCTTACCGTAAGAAAGCGGCCATGGATCTTTGTGGATCTTTTTTAGTTTTCAAGGTACATACACAATTTGAGTGTGCTTCTCCACGTAGCCCTAAAACCGCCAGGGATAAGTGGGGTGCAGCCGCTGGTCCGGATTGTGTTGTAAGCAGCTGTGCCCCTGGCTTCTCATGAGCCAGCAGATTCGATGATGCTCTAAATGTCTGCAGCCTACATGGCGGGGGGGGGGGGGGGGGGCCTGTCTGGGTCCTTGCTGAGACCTGCAGCACGCCTCCCAAGGAAAAGTAAAGCTTGTCCCCCAGGGCCTTAGGGTAAAGACAAGAATTTGTTTGTAGGAAAACTGTTCTGCTTTTGGATTTCTCCTGGGCAAAGGCTACTGTTTGGGCTAGATGGTCAAAGTCTTGAAAAGAACCAGATTTGGAGATTAGTGATGATTCCTAGGGAAGAGGTATTTGGATGGACTTCTCAGCATAAGCCAGAGGATAACAATATTTGTGTCCCATGTGACTGCTCAGCAAAAGGCACTTAATGCAGAGGAGGTTTTCAGTAATTAGATGGGTAAAATGCTCTGCTCTGTGAATGTCAGTCAGCATGTTTCCCCAGCCACCCTCCTGTTTGCTGGGCTCATAAACAAAATGGCCCGTGGCAAAGATGGGGCCTGTGTGTAGCCTCAACAGTAGCCTCCTCCTATCAAGATAAATCCGGCTACTGCCACAGGAGAGGGTAATACTGAGCCCCCAATAAAGGCTGTACTCCAGGGGGGTCCAGTCAGTAACTTGGTGGCAGGTGAGTAACACCAGACTTTTCATCATGGAGGAAGCAGCAATTTGTCCTTCCCAGATTCTGGCCCTATTCTAGACATGGGTCTGCCTTCCTTGCACACCATGGTTCTTCAGCAACATTGTGTGTAAATTGACTGAATGCCTTCCCTTCCATCATTGTATCCCATATGAGATTCCTTCGGATTATTTGACTGTAATAAATAATTTATGAAATAAATAGACATACATAAATAAATGCGGTCCTGAACACAAAATTTCTTGTCCTTAGCCGTTGCTCCATGAGTTATTGATCTTTGAGGGGTCCACAGGCTTCTTGCTTTTCTTTGCCTCATTGTAAGAGAAGATTTTGTGGAGGTTCAGACAGCTGGGGCATGTCTGAGAGGGGCTCGAGCAGAAGGGAGGAGCCAGGCCAGCATGCTCGGGCACTAGGGGTTTAAAGGGACTCTGGGCTCCTTCTTGCTTGCCCACCATGCCTACGTCTTTCCACTTCTGGATTTTCACGAATAATGACAACTGAATGGAACTGATGAAAGGGAAGTCAGAGGGCGCCTGGGTGGTGCAGTCAGTTAAGTGACCGACTCTTGGTTTCAGCTTAGGTCCTGATCACAGGGTTGAGAGTTCAAGCCCCACGTGGAGCCCACTTTAAAAAAAAATAGTAATAATAAAATAAAATAAAATAAAATAAAATGGAGGCAAGCCTAGCAGGAGTTAGTGACGCTCCCACCTGAGAAGCTACTGCAGCACTGGATGGAAGGTAGGTCAACCACACTGTTGTCAGCCTCTGTTAGGTGGTTCATTGGAAATGAACAATATAATGCATATATAAATTAACCGTATAATGTTGTATATGGGGCACCTGGGTGGCTCAGTCGGTTAAACGTCTGCCTTTGGCTCAGGGCATGATCCCAGGATCCTGGGATCGAGTCCCGCCTCGGGCTCCCTGCTCCAGGGGAAACCTGCTTCTCCCTCTGCCTGCAGCTTCCCCTGCTTGTGTGCTCTCTCTCTCTCTCTGACAAATAAATAAAATCTTAAAAAAAAAAAAAAAAAAAACCAACCCAATGTTGTATATGTACTATTTATAGCTATCTTGCCTTTTTCACCTTCAGTGAGATCGGGCCTTGGTTTATGCCCTGAATCCAGGATTGCTTTGCCCTCCAGCCGCTCGTGCCCGCGTCTCTCCCCCACGAAGAGAGGGTCGTGGTGCACATGCGCACATCGCGTCTCCCCCGCTGCCTACAGGCCACAGGAACTGGGCAGTGATGTTGCGAGTGAGTAGATGCCTTGTACTTGTGTCTGACATAACGGCCCCTGGCTCTTCCCGCCCGTAGCTGTGCATGTCTGACGAGCTGTGGGAGAAGGTAGTCCAGTCGGCCTGTGACACCATCACGCCGGACATGCGGGCCCTGGCCAAGGACATAGGCTGGAGGCAGATGTTCTTCACCAACAAGCTGCAGCTTCAGCGGCAGCTCCGCAAGAGGAAACAGAGACAAGGGAGCCAGATAAACAGTACATTTTAGGGACACATTTTCTCACCTGCAGGGGGGTCGAGGCCTGGGTGTAGTTCCCTTCCGTGTCCAAATCTCTCCCGTTTCCTTCGACGACGAACTCAGATTTGAACTTGCTGATTCAAGGAGCCATCGGAAAAGCACACCGGGTTTGCACACACCTGTAGCCCAACCCGACTAGGTGGGGCCTCGCTTGAACCATGGTCCCCCTGTTGGAGGGTCCAGTTCGTGGCCCCAGCAAAGGGCTGCGGGACAGAAAGCCCGTGACACCCGTAAGAAAAAGAGGCTTCTGCTGTACAGAAACAAAAAATAAATGGTTACCTGCAGGTTTTTACTCCTTATCTGTTTTGCTCTAGGCATTTGAAAGGATTACTTGCGCTTCTGAATTTTGGCCTGATAGAGGGGGCTCCGTGTCCCCACGGGAAACAGCGGGGGGCAGGGGCCACGGGAGGCAGCCTGGTGGGCACGGCCGCCTTCCCAGCGCTCTTCCCCTACATTTGAACTCAGGGCCCTGTCATGTGGCCCCTGGATGCCAGGCTCCGTCCCTGCACGTGGACAGCCTCGGATCTGGCCCTGGGGTGTGGCTGGAGCCAAGTCCACTGTTGCGCTCACAGAGCCTCTGTCCAGAGTCCAGCTTCCCCGGACTTCACATTGCCAAATAAGCCTATAAACTTTCCTTAGGGGGATGCTGCCCCAATTTCCAGTGCCCCCCAGGAATGTGGAAAGCTACCCCTTCTACCCCAGGGATTTTTAAGATCTCAAGCTGTGGGTTAACTGAGTGAAAACCCAAGTGCGGTTTGTAGTCTATTAACTTGGAAGAGGGGTAAAAACAGTACAGTTTGAGGGTAGGAAACTCCGGCTCCCTGAATGGGTAATTTACAAATTGTTTTCTTCCCAAGCTTTCCTGAGGATAAAGTACTCCCCCCACCCATGACACTCAAAGCAGCAAATCATCTGATGACTCCTTTTAGGCTACAGAAAAAAGTAGCTGTCAACCTCCCATCACCTTATGCCATTTCTTCTTTCCCTGCAACCTGCACTTCAGTGCCTGGAAGAAATAATATATGCCCCACCTGCTCCCCGTGCAGAGGAATTTCCTGTGTTATCTTGAGGCCTCCGACATGGGCTGATCTCCCCACTCAAGTCCTACTGAATGGCTTGGAGCCACGACTTCAGGGATCTATTTTACTAAACCTGTGTGCGTATCAAACCAGATTTCAACCCCCGTCCCTTAAAACTCACCCCCTTAAAAATCAGTCATATATTTCCAGCGACATCTGTGAAATCGAGCGCAGTCGGCTTCCAGGCAGATGAGGAGCCTGTCAGAGTTGTGTCTGGATGTAGTCCAAGCAAAGAGCAAAGGTTTAATTGGTGAGAGAGCCGGGCTGCCTTCGCCACCCAGGAGGGCCTCCACCAGGGTGATGCAGGTGACCGCCGGCAGGCCGGGGGGGCACGCACTTCTGCACAGATCCTGCAGCCTTGTTTCTCCCCAAAGTCCCCAACTTCACTCAGGGCCAGAACATCGATTAATACCTTGTGTGCACAACGACCGTGTGTATGCACGGTTTGGTACGCAACATAACTGCATAAATATGAAGTCACAGCTCCTTCGTAACATCGATGCAAATATGTCAACAGCTTAAGCATTTCATATGTCCTGTTTAATCAACTAACCGAGACTCCGAAAGCTTATGGGCAGACAAGACGTTCTAGATTCAACATGAATCAGTAAGAACACAAACATGGCCATTTGAAAACTCTTACTATCTACGGAAAATATTATAATATAAAGATAGATGCTAACGGTAAATAACAATGAAAAATGAGTTATTGATACGTTGGCTATTGCTGATAATAATTAAAACAGCACAGGTTATTATTATTCCAGTGATTATTAGCCCTAATAATTTGGGTGCCTTATTACCCGATTATAATTTTTTTTGGTCCAAAAGAAAAAGAAAAACAAACGAATACCACCAACCTAAAATCCTGTGGGGGACTGGTATCCTCAGCGGTTGAAACATTTTTGCCCCTCTTCTTCAGCCTCATTTTCCATGTTAGATTCCACGTGGCGATCCCATCGGATGAAGATAGCAGTACCTCTCTGCCTCCACAGACAGCTTTCATGTGGACGAATTACTCTGCTCTGTGTGTGACATACCATTTCAGAGTGAAATGCCACAGCATTTATAATCTTATCCTTTCCCAACTTTTAAGTCAAAAGTGTTTCTACTCTGTTCTCATTTACCCTTGTAATAGTAAAAGCAAAATGCTGATATTTTCTGATGATTTATATGTTTAGTTTTGTAAGAACAACCACTGAACAACAGCAAATGTGAAAATTTATAAAATAAAAAAATAAATATATTTTACTTACTATCAAGTTCCGTTACTGCTTTTTTTTCCTGAACAAGTTAGCATAGTACATGCATTCAACCCCAGTTATAATGGAATCCAAACTATTGTGCACTGGGTAGACTCAAGAACTGAGACTGAGATTATGAATTTTTTAAAAGATTTTATTTATTTATTTATTTATTTGAGGGAGAGAGAGAGAGCAGGGGGAGAAGAGGGAGAGAGAGAAGCACACTCTGTGCTGAGCATGGAGCCCAATATGGGGCTTGATCCCATGACCCTGAGAACATGATCCGAGCTGTAATCAAGAGTTGGATGCTGAAGGGACTGAGCCACCCAGGCGCCCCAGACAGAGATTATGATTGGAGTGAAGGATGGGAAGCAGGGGTAGGGACAACTCGCTAGCCACCACTTATCATTATTTTCCCAGCGGCTTCTGTCCAAGATGGTCACCAGCCCTCATTAATTACCCCAACCTGACTCCCAAGATGCCAAAGACTAATATAGAACAACCTTACGAAAAACATAAACATGTGCATGGCATAGTTTTTTACTCTGATATTTAGTTCGATGACATTTATCTTCAGTTTGTGTTAAGATAATATACCGTGGGACAATATCCAAGCTTTTCAACTCTGAACAGTTGTTTTCAAATGACGATGAATGTCTCCAATTGGGTGTTAAAAACGCTAAGTAGACAAGCTACCACCACATGAAAGAAGAAGGTGCCCTGGCAGTTAGGAGCATAATGCCATGTATCGGGTCATTTTACAAAGGAAAATTGCTATCTTAGCTTTACGCATTTATTATTTTGAAACAAGATCATCCACACACTGGGATAGCAGTGGTTTGTCCTCGTAATGTGGAGTCCTCAGGGCCGGGAGCCACAGAGAACTCCCACGTTTCCTGTTTATTACGTTCCCAGATCTGTGTTCCTTCCACAGAGATCTCCATTCAGAAAAGTAATTTTCAGTTGTGAAATTTGTTCTGCACATCCAGAAAGTCTTACAGCCATAGATCCATGGTCACAGACTGAGTTGGAATAACCTTAGAAATAGTAAAAAGAAGAAGAAGAAGAAGAAGAGCAGCTTCCATTTGTTGAGTGTCTATTGGGTGCCCCAAAACAGGTAGTAACCAACTTAATTCTTACAGCAAGCCTTGAAGGTAAGTGATTATTTATTATTTCTGTCTCATAGATCAGAGATCTATAAGCTACGGTATAGGCCTAATTTGACCAGCCACTTGTGTCTGTGGAATAAAGTTTTATTGGAGCACAGTCTGTGTATTATCTCTGGCCACCTTCACATGACAATAGCAGTGTTAGGTAGTCACAATAGACTATATGGCCTGCAAGGCTGAAATTAGTCTCAAAGAGGACAATTTTCCCAAGGTTTCATGACTAATAAGTGGTAAAGCTGAGATTTAAATCTATACTGAAAGTCTATGGGGGTTTTTTTGTTTGTTTTAAAGATTTTATTTATTTATTTGACAGAGAGAGACACAGCGAGAGAGGGAACACAAGCAGGGGGAGTGGAAGAGGGAGAAGCAGGCTTCCTGCGGAGCAGGGAGCCCGATGTGGGGCTCGATCCCAGGACCCCGGGATCATGACCTGAGCAGAAGGCAGACGCTCAATGACTGAGTCACCCAGGCACCCCCTGAAAGTCTATGTTCTTAACCACAAGTGCAACATATCACTTCTCCTTTCGGAGCCAACACTGCATTTGACCAATGGAATTTGAAAAGGTGATAGGATTTACCCAAGGTCATTTGAATTAATTAGGCCCTGAGCACAATATAAGAGACCATTCTAATTTATTCCAAGCTTTTGATGAACTAAATTATTCATTTTTTATTATTTCTTTATTTTTATTAAAAAATACTTTATTTGTTTATCTGAGAGAGAGAGTGAGAGAGAGAGAGATCACGAGCAGCGGGGAGGGGTAGAGGAAGAAGCAGACTCCCCGCTGAGCAGGGAGCCTGACATGGGACTCAATCCCAGGACTCTGGGATCATGACCTCAGCCAAAGGCAGACACCTAACTGACTGAGCCACCCAGGCGCCCTTTATTTTATATTTTTTATTTTTAAAATTTTAATTCCTGTGCAGTTAACATACAGTGTTATATTAGTTTCAGGTGTACAGTATAGTGATTCAACAATTCTATATATTACTCAGTGCTCATCAAGGTAAGTGTCTTCTTAATCCCCTTCACCTATTTCTCCCATCCCCCCCTCCACCTCCTCTCTGGTAACCATCTGATTGTTCTCCATAGTTAAGAGTCTGTTTTTTGGTTTGTCTTTCTTTTTTCCCCTTTGATTGCTATTTTGTTTGCTATTTTGTTTCTTAAATTCCACATATGAGTGAAATCATATGGTATTTGTCTCTCTCTGATTGGCTTATTTTGCTTAGCATTGTACTCTCTAGATCTGTCCATGTTGTTGCAAATGGCAGGATTTCATTCTTTCTTATGGCTGAATAATATTCCATTATATATATATATATATATAAAATATACCACATCTTCTTTATCTATTCATCTATTGTTGGACACTTGGGCTGCTTCCATAATCTGACTATTGTAAATAATGTTACAATAAACATGGGGGGCATGAACACCTTTGAGTTAGTATTTTCATACTCTTTGGGTAAGTACCCAGTAGTGCGATTACTGGATCTTAGGGTAGTTCTAGTTTTAAATTTTGAGGAACCTCCATACTGTTTTCCACAGTGGCTGCACCAGTTTGCATTCCCACCAATAGTGCGTGAGGTTCCCTTTTCTCCACATCCTCACCAACACTTGTTGTTTCTTGTGTTGTTGGTTTTAGCCATTCTGATGGGTGTGAGGTGATATCTCATTGTGGTTTTGATTTGCATTTCCCTGGTGATGAGTGATGCTGAGCATCTGTTCATGTGTCTGTTAGCCATCTGAATGTCTTTGGAGAAATGTCTGTTCCTGCCTTCTGCCCATTTGTTTCATTGGATTACTTGTTTATTTTAGTGTTGAGTTGTATAAATTCTTTATATATTTAAAATACTAACCCTTTATTGGCTATATTGTTGGCAAATATCTTCTCCCATTCATTAGGTTGTTGTTTAGTTTTGTTGGTTGTTTCCTTCACTGTGCAGAAGCTTTTTATTTTAACATAGTCCCAATAGTTTATTTTTGCTTTTATTTCCCTTGCCTCAGGGGACATATCTAGAAAATGATGCTACATCCGATGTCAGAGAAATTTCTGCTTGTGCCCTCTTCCAGGATTTTTATGGTTTCAGGTCTCACATTTAGGTCTTTAATCCATTTTGAGTTTATGTCTGTGTGTAGTGTAAGAAAGTGGTCCAGTTTCATTCTTTTGCATGTAGCTCTCCAGTTTTCCCAACACCATTTGTAGAAGAGATTGTCTTATTCCCATTGTATATTCTTGCCTCCTTCATCAAAGATTAATTGACCATATAATTGTAGGTTTATTTCTGGGCTTTCTATTCTGTTCTGTTGATCTGTGTGTCTATTTTTTGTGCTAGTACCATACTGTTTTGATTATTACAGCTTTGTGATATAACTTGAAGTCTGGAATTGTGGTACCTCTATTTTTGTTTTTCTTTTTCAAGATTGCTTTGGCTAGGGGCACCTGGGTGGCTCAGTCAGTGAAGCCTCTGTCTTCGGCTCAGGTCATGATCTCAGGGTCTTGGGATTGAGCCCTGTGTCAGGCTCCCTGCTCAGTGGGGAGCCTGCTTCTCCCTCTGCCTTTCCCCCTGCTTGTGTGCTTTCTCTCTCTCTGTCAAATAAATAAATAAAATCTTAAAAAAAAGATTGCTTAGGCTATTTGGGGTCTCTTGTGGTTCCATACAAATTTTAGGATTATTTGTTTTAGTTCTGTGAAAAATGCTGTTGGTATTTTGATAGGAGTTGCTTTAAATCTCTAGATTTCTTTGGATAATATAGGCTTTTTTTATGTTCAATGAGCCAACATATGAAACATCATTAGTTTTGATGTAGTGTTCAATGATTCATTATTTGTGTTTAACATCCAGTGCTCATCACCACACGTGCCCTCCTTAATACCCATCACCCTGTTACCCCATCCCCCCACCCACCTCCCTTCTGTAACCCTCAGTTTGTTTCCTGGAGTGCAGAGTCTCTCGTGGTTTGTCTCCCTCTCTGATTTCTTCCCGTTCAGTTTTCCATCCCTTCCCCTCTGGTCCTCTGCACTATACCTTATGTTCCACACATGAGTGAAACCATATGATAATTGTCTTTCTCTGCTTGACTTATTTCACTCAGCATAATCTCCTCCAGTTCCATCCATGTCAATGCAAATGGTGGGTATTCATCCTTTCTGATGGCTGAGTAATAGTCCATTGTATATATGAACCATATCTTCTCTATCCATTCGTCTGTTGAAGGGCATCTCAGCTCCTTCCACAGTTTGGCTATTGCGGACATTGCTATAAACAGGCTAGACTTATCCCCCCCAAAAAAGAGAAAGGACCCAAATTAATAAAATCATAAATGAAAGGGGGGAGAAATCACGACCAATACCAAGGAAATAGAGGCAATTATTAGAACTTATTACCAACAGCTGTATGCCAACAAACTAGGCAACCTGGAAGAAATGGATGCTTTCCTGGACACTTATAAACTATCAAGACTGAAACAAGAAGAAATAGACAATCTGAACAGACCAATAGCCAGCAAGGAAATTGAAACAGTAATCAAAAACCTCCCCAAAAAACAAGAGTCCAGGGCCAGATGGCTTCCCAGGGGAATTCTACCAAACATTTATTTTTTTTTTTAAAGATTTTATTTATTTATTTGACACAGAGAGAGAGAGCACAAGCAAGGGGAGTGGCAGGCAGAGGGAGAAGCAGGATCCCCACTGAGCAGGGAGCCCGACACGGGGCTCGATCCCAGAACCCTGGGATCACGACCTGAGCCGAAGGCAGACACTTAACCCACTGAGCCACCCGGGTGCCCTGCTATCAAACATTTAAAGAAGAAGTCATACCTATTCTGAAGCTGTTCCAAAAAA